TATATATATATATAAAAGAGTACTTTATGTATATAAATAGCAGTTGTCATTCTATATCTCCCTTATATTAAGAAGATAATCAAATGCTTAGTTTTATGATCAAAGCTCTGTAGTTTTCATTATGGGGGCTAAACATATAATACAATACAATACAATACAATAATAACTGAGAGATGAACAAATAAGCGTTGCCCATAAACCTTGATTTACTATATTTGATACTCACATTTGAACATGATTTTTTCCAAATGATGTATGGATAATTAAGTGAACCTAAGTTGCTTCAGTTCAGTAAGTGTTCATCTTAAAATGTACAAACAATATAAAAGTTATTCTCATGTTTACTTTATAAAAATCAGTAAAGATTTCACAACAAAAAGACAACCTAACAGTTTTACAATTATATTAGAAGCTCTTTTACTTTCTAAAAGCTACCAATCAGATGGCAGGTTTATTAAGGTTGTGTACAACAGGCTTTTCAGCAACGTTTTGATCATGTTGATAATTTAGAGGCCTTATAAATTTGCATATTAAATATGATACACTTGGCTTTATAGGGTAAACATGCAGATCTGAGCAGCCCTCACAGTTATTGACTTGTGTACTGAATGCCTAAGGACCAATTTCTTGTAACAATCTGCTTAGTATTGGGTTTTCACAGCTCCTATTAGCATTTATTATCACATTTGTCCACCATAATTCCAGTCAATTGCACTCTAATCACTTCAAATCATGCAAATGGAGAATTGTGAAGTGATTAGCATCTCCAGTGCAACTCACTCCATAACAGCGTTTTTGTCTGCACATTTCTAAATATTTAAAAATATTTGGCATGCAACTGTGAAACACGGCCCCACAAATCAACTCCGGGGTTTGTATAATGGAGCTGTCAACCTGTACAGCTAATGCCACATTTATATGGTACAAAAACAATTGGTTCATGCATGGAGCTGATTAACATTTATGATCAGCTTTCTGCTGAATCCACTTTTATGACGCTTTTATGATGAGGCCATGGTCACCTTAATTTAAATTGAGCTTGCTGCTGCTTATTAATCTCAGTATTGGCAGGTTGCTTTATAGCTTTCCATTAAACCTTGGATTCTATGTGATGCTGTCTGGTTAGTAACGAGCCAATTAAAGAACTAGCAGATCTGCTTTCTAGTACAAACCAATATGGCAACAAACGCTTACAGTATTTATTTTTTATTTTTTTTAAAGATGTCAACGTTACACCAATGGAGAGTAATGCTAATTGATGTAACAGTTGGTCCTTTTGACAAATAATTTTCCTAAAAAGAATAAATAAGTCATTTAAAAAAATATTTGTGGGTCATTCCATGAAATCGGTGCCTTTTCCACTTGGAAAAAGTGAAAAATAAAATAAGTTTAATCAATATTTTTTAAATATACATGAAATGAAGACACCTTAAAATGACAAGAATTTGTATTGTGCCATCTCAGGCTATGTAATTTATTATTTTATGACTATTTTTCTACCTCATGTTTTGGTATTTTTGTCAACCCTGTTACCGACACAAGCGTTACTAGATACTATAGTTTAATTAGAACTCATATGCCACTGAATGATATAGGCATTAGCTCAATAATATACCGAGGGTGACCTTTAAAATGTTTGAATTTCACACAGACAATCTTTGCAAACAGGGTCAAGCCTAATCAGTGTCATCCCTGATACCCACATGTCAAAACCTGTTACTCTAAAAAGTAACAGGTTGACAGTAACAGGTGTGACGATTTCAAACAAATTTGCTAGTTGCTAGTAGGCTTGCCGCGATAGACGGTGTTGACGGTGATACCGGTGTTAAGCCGCAACACCGGTTACGTCACTTGCCCACCGCAGCACCGACCCTCACCGTCGTTTAGATTTTTTGAAGTAGCCTAATAAAAATCATTTAGTACAGTAAAAGAACAGACACTACAATTAAAAACTGAACGCGGCTGCTCAATGCAGCGTGCCGAAACAAAAGCACATATTGTACACTTTGAAAGGATTTTACTTGTAGAATCAATTTAGTTTAAATTTGTTTAAATTTAGATTTTAAAAATGGTAACAGGATTGACATTGCATGATTATTTTACAAGGGTTTTGTAACAGGGCTGACATGAAATCAGGGGACACCAATAAAATGATTTATATTTTATAGAAAAAAATGCATACTTATGCCAAAAACATTGCTTAACAATGAGACTAAATTTAGAACAATATGCAAATGTGATTTTTATATCATTTTGCCTTCATTTAGCAAATTAAAAGTCCTGCTGAAAAAGAAAAATCATAGTGAGGGACAGGCCAAAAACCTTACCCTTACCCATTAAATTATCTAAAATAATATTTAATTGACTTTTTTTTTTTATGTAATATTGATGAAAGCATACATAGTATTGCTATGTTTTAAATTGCACACTTATTTGTTGTTATATCAAATCTATGTTTGATAGGGATGTAACGATTAACTGCGAGCCGGTTGGAAATCGATTTAAATATGTGACGATTCAAATCGGTTGAGGATTATTTCTGAGGGATGCAAAAGGCACCGATTTCGTGGAATGACCCATCTACAAAACAGATATTTGACTTACATATACATATCTAACCAAGTGCTGCTTACTGTAAAGAAATAAATGTTATTAGGCTCTTCTATCAACACCGATTACCAAAATTACTGTAGCACACAACCTTGAGTGTCTCGTTTCGATTAACATCCTCAGCAGATAGTAAAACATATTCACAGAGGACCATAAACCGCAGAGGGAAAGAGAGAGACCCCTTCACCTGGTCTCAGGACCCCATTCACTGATGCCTGTCTGTCGGCCCGTCCCAGCCTCTTCAGACAGATTAACAGGATCACGCTTGTGTCTCTAATCTGTCTTTTGTGCGCCGCAGCACCTGACTCTCTCCACAGAGCACACTCTCTACAGCGCTTAATGACCAAATTAAAACATGCACTTGAAAAACAAAGAGGGAACGGCCTAATCTCTCACTGAGGATTACAGAACAGATTTATCCGATATGTTCTGCCATCTGCATGAGTCCTGATACATCACAGCAAAACTCGTGATCTTAGGAGGAGTTTACAGCACAATATAACCACTGTTAAACTGAACACTTCAAAAATAGAGTAGCAGTTTATTCTACTAACTTCCTATCTGGTCCAAAGGGCAACAAATACGGCAGGATCTTTTCTCAAAACTACATTTTTCCTGCTCGTAACACATTATTTTTGTGATTTTAAGTGGATATATTAAGACTTTTCTCCTTGAGTTCACCTAGGTGTCATTCATCTTATTATTAAATGTGAACTTTCTGGATTACGGATATTAAAATCTGACATCTAACTTAATCTAACACTTAAAACTTCTCTTTGTGAAAAGTTTGCTTAAAAAATGTGGTTCTTCTTCTTTTTTTTAATGAATGACACTACATTTACATTTGTTATAGGCCTACACTACAGTGGTTTCAAACATTTTAAGTGTGATTTAACTGTCCAAATATTTTCTGTAGATTTCTGAGGGCATTTTCAGAAATGTGACCCTCAAGAAGAGCAAAAAAGTACAGACACAGAGCATCAGATGGTGTTTGTTTCTGTTAATACTACACATCACACACACAAACACTGGTAACACACAGCACAAACGTTAAAGGGATAGTTCATCCAAAAATGAAAATGTGATGTTTATCTGCTTACCCCCAGGGCATCCAAGATGTAGGAGACTTTGTTTCTTCAGTAGAACACAAATGATGATTTTTAACTCCAGCCGTTGCAGTCTATCAGTCGTATAATGCATGGCAATGGTAACAAAATCTATGAGAGTAAAAAAAACATGCACAGACAAATCCAAATTAAACCCTGCAGCTCGTGACGATACATTGATGTGTAAATGAAGAAACAAAGTCACCTACATCTTGGATGCCCCGGGGGTAAGCAGATATACATCAAATTTTCATTTTTGGGTGAACTATCCCTTTAAGTCAAATCATCTATTTCAGGTCTGTATATAACTTCTCTCTTCTCTGACTCTAAAAGCAGATTACAGGAAAACATTCACTGTAGATCTCCTTAAATCGGATTTAACGGGTTTTATCTGAATGAAATTAACTTCTGCCCTCTCACAGCACACCAAACAGAAGAACTGCATACATATATATAATTATAAACAGAAGAGTGTAATGTTTGTTATTGCTATCTGATGAATTCACAGTAGCAAACCAAACCAAACGTTACTGCTGGACTCCACCCAACACATAAAAAGTGACAAACTGACGGATGAACAGTTGACTCGTGTCATAAACACACTACTGAAATGTTTTCTCTGATCTGAAAGCATGTTGTGAACAGACCTGGGGGTGTTTATTGCCTGCAGAAAGCGCTGCTTTTGTTGCGCTGCTCAGTTTCCGGCTGCGCGATGCAGAGGCGCGTCTGACGGGTGCCGGGGAGGACCAAATAACCGAATATCAAAAACGCGATTTCTTTCCTCAAGGAAGGGTGATGATAAAGTTCGCAAGGTAAACAACAAAAATTACCCAGATATTGTTTTTGTAAACTTTTTGCTTTAGTTTTATCCTCTCGATTATCATAGCTTCCCTATGCAGCCTATATTTGCTCTTTCGTTTCAGCGATGCTACAGACACAAGGGTACATCAAATCTTCAAAATGAGGCAACACCTTTAACATATTATATGATTAATTTCCATATTATGCATTATAGCCTATGTAGAATTTAATCAGAGCTGTATTTTCAAACGATGGCTTTTGAATGAATTAACGTTTTAATTAGGGAGTCATTAATATAGCCTACACTAACAGCAACTAAAACAGACTGCAAAACTTCCTATCGGCTATATCTCAAATCAAGCACATGGACAGCAGCATTTGAATATTTCAAAATACAATTACATTAAATAAAATGCCTAACTATAAGGCCTATAAACTGTAAAACGTAGCCTACCATTGACCATTTCAAGTAGGCTACTGTCAATGTAAACAGCACAACAAATATTACCTTTTATATGATCTAATAGTTTTACTCTGTTGACATCTGATATTTTTAGCTTTATTTAAGTTGTATGTATTATTGATAGTCAATAAGAGACTCCAGTAATATTTCAGTTACTGATTCAACATGTGGCTTAAAGCCACATTATGTATTATTACACATTACAGTCAGCTTTCTGTAATCTATATGGTTAGATCACACACTTTCACTGTTGATCCCCCGTGAACTGCAAACCCAGGATAGAGCGGCTGAGTGAATGTGGTCTGGACTCTGGATGAGGCTCATTGTGTGAGAGACGCTGTAGAAGGACATATGTGGCTTAAAGCCACATTATGTATTATTACACATTACAGTCAGCTTTCTGTAATCTATATATGGTTAGATCACACACTTTCACTGTTGATCCCCCGTGAACTGCAAACCCAGGATAGAGCGGCTGAGTGAATGTGGTCTGGACTCTGGATGAGGCTCATTGTGTGAGAGACGCTGTAGAAGGACAGAGTTCCTGCACTGTGATCCACATACACTCATATTCTGCAGCGACCGGGTGGTACAGGAAGATCAGTGGAGCTGTTATTGTGCCAGAATGAGTAAAGTAAGGCAGAGCAGTCCAAATGACTGATCATTGCATCCAAAAACACACTCGTTTCTCCCTCCTTTCCTGCTGATGCTCTTATGATACTGACATATCCACACCATCATCACCACTCCACTCGAGCTCCCAGCAGCAGCGTCCACACACACACACACTCTCTACACAACACCTGAGGATAATCCTCAAATCTGTCTGGATGATCAGGACACTGCTGGACTACGTTAGGGACATTAAACACTCCATTCCAGACGGAGATGTTCATTCACTGCGTTTGGATCCAGAGTGGACTTACTGTAATCTAAAAGAGATCAAACACAAAATCATGTATTAAATGTAAATTAATTTTATGTGTAGGCCTCTCTGGGGCCTACAGCAGTGTAACAATTGATGTATATCAAAAATAGTGCAACAATCAAAATTTGCATTCTCTCTGATCAGTGTAAAAAAAATTAAATCAGTGGAAAGTCCTAATAACGATAGAAGAGCCAATGTGTGTGTGTGTGTGCGTGCGTGCGTGTGTGTCTGTGTGAGTGAGTGAGTGAGTGTGTGTGTGTGTGTGTGTTTCCACTGTGTCTTACACTGCAGGAACTCCTCCCTGATCTTGGGTTCATTGGTGGGAATAATTTCAACATGTGTTACTAAGAAAAAATAAACAGGCATAATTAGTATAGTTCCCATTACACGTTTTTATATTCCATGATGACGAAGAGTAAATGAAAGTCTGCTACTTTACCTTTGCCAGATATCTTGCCTATCTCCTCTCTACAGAAACCCTGCAGTTTTTCTTTCAGTTGATAGAGGGACTTTCTCACTTCATGAAAAGAGAGGGGAGCGCTGACAGTGATGCTGGATGTATCTGCAGATTCAGGAGATACAGCGAGAGACTGGAAACTCTACAGGAAGAAATAAACACAAACAATAAACATACAAAACAAAAACCTTAATGACATCCACCACTGGCCTGTACAATCACTTATTTTCTTGCTTGTCTTGTTTATATCGGCACTTTATTTGCAATAGTTGCGCCATTCTGGTATTAATCATATTCTCGGTGTTCTCCTGGGCTCCTCAGGTGTAATCTAGCACTTCTGTTCTAGTAATTTTACATATTTCTAGTAATTAGGCTGAAATTTAAAAAGCATCTAATTGCAAGGTTGTGTTAAAACCACATTTCTCTATTTCAGATGTGTTACCTTGAGAAAAAGGATGTGATCATTTGTGTGAGAAAGCTGCTCCAGCTCAGCATCTCTCCTCCTCAGTTCATCAATCTCCTGCTTCAGTCGATAGATGAGTCCTTCAGCTCGACCCACTGCAGCCTTTTCCTGTTCTCTGATCATCTGCATCACCTTAGAGCGGCTTCTCTCAATGAAGACCCTCTCACTGTCCTCTACTGCTGTCTGTCAGAGCGCTGTTAAACACACATCTAAATCAGCTCTTACTGGTGCCTGCGACCCACAATCATAAACAGAATCCAAGCAGTCTCGAACCTCTGTTCTTCTCTAAACTCACCGTATGAGACTCCACTGCCTCTCTCAGCTCCTCAAGATCTTTGCTGGATTCTCTGCTGGAACTCTCTCTGTGTCTCTTTCAAAATGATCTGTATGGAAATTCAATAAAACTGTAAACTTTAGAAATATTGCATACAGCTGTGTTAGAAGTTACTACGTCATTTGCAGTCTATATAGTGAAAACAAGAACCAAGAAAGTGATTTAAGGCTGTATTAAAACCTAGACTGAATATATACATACTGTATACAATATATACATACTGTATATTATTGTTTCTCCTTCTTCTTCTTCTGTTTATTGGCGGTTGGCAGACTAGCTTATTAGTGCATTACCGCCACCATCTGAACTGGAGTAACTGGAGTCGATGCATGTATATGTATCACATATGAATGTATATCATACTAAATAATAATACTAATAATAAATAAACATCATTATATTCTTATATAATTTCCTGTATCTTTAAGATATTTCAACATTTACTTAAAGGGAGTTAGTAAATTGTGTGTACGATTTAGTAAAACGAGGGAACAAATTATATTATACTAATTTTTTTTCCTGCATGTCATGTACGTGGGCTGTACATAAGCCACTTTAAGCGTAAAAATATCCACTTCATCATGTCAGGGAACAAAATCAGGAAAGAAAAATATATGCCCAGAGCACCTCCCAGTGGTCACCACATAAAACACAAAGAAAAAAACCTACATGAGTCACTGCTTAATAATTTAACAGCTTTTAACAAAAGAAAAACAACAAAAAAACATAGGCCTACACAAGTCCAACAGAAAAACATTATGGTAAGATTGCTTTCCAAAAAAAAAGCACTTCAGAAATAGTTGAAATGGCATTTATCAGGAATCATGCGATCTTATAAAAAATAAACCAAATTGCAAACTAAATCCAACCCTGGATATTTTATATAGTTTAGAAATTTTGAAACTCGCAACCTCATGCACAAACTAATCATGCATATCACTAACTGGCAGTATGCCTTCATCAACAGCTATATAGCAGAGAAAAAAGAGAGAAAGAGGAGAGCCGCCAGCAGCTGAATTTCGGGGCTGAAGGGGGAGTTTGGTCAAACTACACTCTTAAAAATAAAGGTGCTTCAAAAGGTTCTTCAAGCGATGCCATAGAAGAACCATTTTTGGTCCCACAAAGAACCATTCAGTCAAAGGTTCTTTAAAGAAGCATCTCTTTCTTACCTTTTTATAATCTGAAGAACCTTCTTTCACCACAATGAACCTTTTGTGAAACAGAAAGGTTCTTCAGATGTTAAAGGTTCTTTATGGAACCATTTAGACAAAAAGGTTCTTCTATGGCATCGTGAAGCACCTTTATTTTTAAGAGTGTATGGCAGCGATACAGGGAATGGTTGAGCTAAATCAAAGACGGCGCCGTCTGTGGAGCCATTATGTGCACTAAAACTTTAGCTACTATGTAAGAAGCTGCAATTCTTAAAAAAAAATCACCTGCCACAGCAGCAAATTGAGCAGCTTTTAGATCTTGTTGGTCAGACAAACTCGATGGAGCTATACAGCTGCTGGCGCCTCTGTCTCTCTTTTTTCTCCGCCATAGTAGTTTTCTTTCTTTCTTTTGTTAAAAGCTGTTAAATTATTAAGCAATGATGCATGTAGGTTTTTTCTTTATGTTTTATGTGGTGACCACTGGGAGGTGCTCTGGGCATATATCCTTCTTGGTTTTGTTCCCTGACATGAGGTATGTTGCAAAGTGAAAGTAAAAGTTTCACACGTTTGTTGCATTCTAACATGAAAGAGTTTTGTGTCTTTATTTAAAATCAACACTTCTTTTATAAAGAACACCGCTTTCTCACATAACGCACTGAAGCAGCCCCTGCATAGAGTGAATAATCCATTCTCGATCCATCGATATCAACCAATTCAGCACCACCCTCATGGACAGCACCTGATAACTTCACACGTAAGAAGGTATACCTGTAAGCAACCTCCAAAGGTATAGTTCGGGGAACATGCCTAGAACAGGTATACCTTTAGTTAAGATATACCTTTAGAGTCTTCGTAGCGAGCTAAGAGGCAACGTTATCGGGAAACGCACACCAGTGACATAATATATTGTGAAAGACTTTGTCTTTAATTTTCTCCAAAACTTGAAAGTAAATCCCAATGAAGGTTGACACAGACAGAGTCATGGTCGTCCTGAAGAAGAATGAATTGAAATTTTCATGCGAACTCTTAAGGAATTTTAATAATGCCTGTAGAAAAAGCAAGAATTGATCAGTGCTATAATGCATTTTGACAGACTTTGCCTTTAATTTTCTCCCAAATTCTACAGTAAAACCCAGTGAAAGTTGACACAGACAGAGTCTTGGGCATTCTGAATAAGTATGATTAGAAATTTTCATGTTAACTCTGAAGGAATTTGAATAATGCCTGTATAAATGTCAAGGAATGGTCAGTGCAATAATGCATTGTGACAGACTTTGCCATTCATTTTCTCTAAAATTCTACAGTAAAATCCAGTGAAAGTTGACACAGACAGAGTCTTGG